AAAACAATGAGTTTCTAGACCAGGTAACAACAAGTTTGCTTTACAGTTACTTGGACAAATTCATTGGACCCCAGAATCGCGGGTATGCTCTTGCCAATAACAGGTGATGCAAAGCCGTTCGCCTGTAATAGATACAGGTTTTCAATGAAAAGGTACTAGCGTAGTCGAACCTGGTAATGGGGACGGTTTTCATTGCCCTCTCCCCTTTGGTTTACTTACTTCTACTATCAGCGAATCCCTCGTTGTCTGAGTAGGATTGGTGTACAAGATCGGTGTACTGGTGGGTCCGTAGGTGACTGTGGAGCCCTCTTCTTGACCTGCATCTTCTCCCGCAGTGAGGTCATTGGTTTCCAGGTAGAAGGCGGTCCCGGTCGGGGTTGGCTTGATGTGCCTTCCTCTTGGCACCTTTCTCTCTTTCGCCCTCCATTCGTGCCTCTTCAAATTCTGCAGCACTGCTGGTCACAGCTGACCTCCAGCTGGAGCGCTCAAGGGCCAGGGCTTCCCAGTTCTCCGTGTCTATGCCAAGTAAGTAACATATAGGCAAACCTTTAGTCTTCAGTCCATTTGAACCTGAGCATGAGGAAACTTCTATTTGGTTCATCTGAGATGAGATAATCTTATCTATTTCAGGAGGGGCTGAAATGTCTTTTGAATTTAATATGTGATTCCCAAACGTGTTAGGATTTGAAACATGATTTTTAAATAAAGCTATCTTGAATAATCATAGGATCTCAACAAAGCAGGAGAATGAACCTGGAATATATTCAGGAGTAAATAGAGAATAAGCAGGAGTTTTGATCACCCATCTAAGATGGTATAGAGTGATGGTCACTCCTTGTGTAATGAGACATTTTGTTGCCAAATTTGGTGTGATTTCGTTCATTGGTTCTTTTGTTTTTAAGGTACTCATTATGCACAGAGCATTTATATATATATATAGATTGGCAGTTCTACAGTATTCAGAGGACCAGATTTTCCTCATGTTTTATTCCCTTCCCTAAAGCAACCAATTTCTTTTATTAGCAAGTGACAAAAGGCACTGCAGTGCCTTCCAGATAAATCTTTATAGTGACATGAATTTTTACAGACAGAGAAAGATAGGTAATATAAACACATCAGCACAGGTGCATTTAACAATACATCACACTAACAAGACCGGCATTAAAGCTAACAGCAAAGCATTTAACCTGCTAACTGGATTTCAAATGCAGTACACATTCGAAACGTTTGCTGGAACATTAAACACAGCATTCCAAACAATGGCTAAAACGCTAAATGTGAGTGCGGTGTATTCACAATCAAGAAGCAATTATTGCAGTATAACCACTCATCTGTTTGGCTTCAGCCATAACAGCATGGTCAGGTTTTCTGGATGAGCTTCAAGGCCTCTTCAACAGCTGTGCCCCCAAATGTTTCTGATTTCAATTTTAGAGTATCTGTGTGGCCGCCCTGAGTCGCCTTCGGGCAGATATGGGTGGGATAGATATTATGTAAATAAATAATAATAAATAGATTGAGAATGCTAGGAGATCTAAGTGGTTTCCTGGGGTCTCTGTGTGATGCCAAAAATGTTTGTCAATTTCTTCTTATATACTGGAACTATCAGTGTGAACCAGAATAGCGCTATTGCTGCTCAGAATCCTTTTAAAGCAAGGAATTAGGTATTTGTTTATCTTATTAGGAGCAAACCAACAGTTGTATTGTATTTTTTTTAAAACACAAAGTTTGAAAATTTGGCATTCTATGAAATGTCCCTTGACCAGTAGCTGGCCACTTGGAGTGCCTCTAGTGTTGCTATAAAAAGGTCCTCCATTATGCATGAGGCGGGGCTCAGACTGCATTGTATTAGGTGGTCTGTGGTTTGCTCTTCTCCACACTCTCCTGTCGTGGACTCCACTTTGTGGCCCCATTTATTAAGGTTGGCTTTGCATCTCATGGTGGCAGAGCACTAACTGTTCAGCGCCTTCCAAGTCACCCAGTTTTGTGTGTGCCCAGGAGGAAGTCTCTCATTTAGTATCAGCCATGGATTGAGGTGCTGGGTTTTAGCCTGCCACTTTTGGACTCTCGCTTGCTGAGGTGTCTTAACAAGTGTCTCTGTAGATCTTAGAAAACTATTTCTTGATTTCAGGCATTGGTGTGCTTGTTGATATGTATGTGGTGGGAGTGTCCATTTAAACAGACAGCCTCTGGCCTCCACAAACAGGCTATAATTCCAAGGGCTGAGAAGTCTCCAAAGGCACTCCCTCAACTGACATTGCAGGTTATAGCGAGCACCATGAACA